AATTAATTATTATTATTTTTTCAGACGAAGACTGTTTAGCCTTCAAAGATATTCCGGTATATCGTGAATAGGGAACGTACAATGACGAAAAACAGTAGATGGTCCAGACCCTACATAATCGGAATGGCAAACACGTCAATGGTACAGTACATATAATCCAGCAAAGAGTATCAATTTCGAATTGAAGGAATCGAGACAGTCTACAAACTATTCACGACAAATCAGCACTAGCATGGGACCTGGGACATATAATTAAAAAGTCAATTAGTTCGTAAATTAGTTATTTATTTATTTTTATTGAGACACCGCTTGGTATACCTAATTCATACGTTGTCCCTAACGGTGGTTGAAATGCAACATCTGATGACATCAACAACGTCTTACATGTCCTCTCGGCGATCATGTCTTTAGTCTCAAGTACCATTCTTGCACGAAGGTGGGCTAAATGTGTTTGTAATCAAGAATGTAAGGGCATATAGCGAGAAAAACAACGTATACGCTCTTCGCCATAAGTCGTGTGTATTTATTTATTTATGTAAAGAACAAACAAAGCCGTGTGTTTTTCTTGGCAGCTAAATAAATGATTGCGTAATCAACTACAACTATTGAAATTATATGATTATACTTTTTGCGCGGTCGATATCTATACTGTGGGCAATGTTCATTGCATTTATTCAGATTACGTCATTTCCACTTATTCACTTGTGAATTACGAAAAGTTGTGTTTGTAACATTCCAATTGCGGGCAAAGCTTTAATAAATGTTTGTTTTGAAAACCTTACTTGGTGCATTTTCAACCTGTATTTACATAGTATGTCTACCTGTCGCGCAGATGCGATACATGCCAATGTTCAACTTTGAAATAGAGATACAATTTGCGCCATGGTATTTATGAACTGACATCTGAACCTAAAACAATCTACGATAATGTCTGGTTTTTCCCCAACCAACGTAAAACCAAAAATAAACTAGTTGTATGATTCATGAAAAACGAGTCTTGCTTTTTTCCAACTGGAACTGAATGGCTTATCCATATATAATCCACTTGTTTACAATAGAATTTATTTAAACCTATCTAATGTTGCATTGGTTTAGAAGCAGATAGTTTATGAGAAACCATTCATAAACATAATGTGGCAAGGTCTGAAACAAGTTCAATAGAAAACGCGAAGAGCCATTAAAAATAATAAAAAACACTATATGCCATGAAAATTACAATTGTCATTGGAATATGCTGAATTTGGAACACACAAACTGTTTATTTCATTATTGTACCATAATTGTTACGTCAATCCACGGCGACCAAGATTATCTATTGTAATTAATGTCCGCTTGCTCTGCTCGTTAGCAGTACTCAATAGCTTCTAGTGACACCTCCGAGGCCGCTCGTTATTGACAAGGTACCAAAATAGTGGCTTAACACTCGTGTTTTGTATCCTCCAGATATTAAACTTCACTCTGTGCTTCTGGCTATCGTGCCGTTCAATATCTGTCACGCGACTCGTGCATTGTCCTGTAAATATACAGTATAGTCGTGACACAAACACTATACGTACACAGCGTTATAGAATTAGGTAGCCAAAATATGAATTATTGTTCATATGTTTCACTCAGGGAGCATTAGCGTAATATTACGAAAGGTCACCAAATGTTCCTTCTAATTCAAAAATGAATGTATCCATAGAGATGTACGTTCCCCTTCATTGTTTTACATGAGAAAAACTAAATTCGTTTTTTTAATTTTTCTGTCGATTTTATTTTTTTATTTTTTATTTTTTCCCTATTTTATTTTTATTCGATATTAATGATTGTAGGGTGTAAGAGTGTGTCGTTTGAGCTTGATTTTCTGTATCTAGACATTTAGCACAGCTTAATATATGTTTTCAATACAGTTCTGCCGACATATACGTACTATAGCGTAATTCATGGTAGTTTACACACACACTCCTAAGCGTTTGTTACGCTCTCCGTGGAATTATAAAGCAATGATCACAGTTTGGTGCAATATAATGTCACCCCGGTGGGATTGCACTTTTTGATCTTCATGGTAAGAAATTGCTATTGATTGCAATGAAACGATCAAAATTGTGAAATTGATTATAATATATGAAATATCCTCAGATATTAACGAGAACTTGTTGCACCCCGAATTTTGTTTTTGTTGATTTGGGTTATAAAATATATCTATTGGCAAATTTATAAGCAGCTTGGAATGTTAAGTGATTCATCGATTCCTAATATCCTAACATGTTCATGTTATGTGCATGTTTGACTGTAGCAATGTACATTAACGACCACGGCCTATTGTTACTAGACATTAAAAGATTCGCCGAATCAAACAATGATTTCTACGAACTTAAAATGTCGCATTTTCAGGACATACTAGTATTCGTTAGATGGAAAATCGACAACCACTTAATACGCATGCGTATTGATTGTTATTGTACGTACCAAAACAGCATCCTATTGTTTCATTGTACGAATATACCGATGCGTGCAACAAGAACAGAATTTTCAGGTTACGATGAGGAATAGGTCAATACATTCAAACGGTATCAAACAGCGACGCCTGTGTTCTCGTTCATATTGTTAGGTTGCCACAGATCTGGGAATGTGCGTATTAGTATATAAAGTTATTTGGGAATGTAGCTAAAATAATAGTACAAGCACTGGACACAGTATACTATGTAAAGATAGATACATGCTCAGTAAAAGTAAATATCTTTGTATTGCGTTCTGACATGACATTTCACCGAGATATTTGCCAATAATACAGTGGAACGTTGCTTCAGTGAGTTCATCACATGTTAACCAAGTACATTTTCCAGCATCATATGTCAGACCACGTGTAAACTGGAAATAACATGCCCACTATAAATCGTTACACCAAAGTTTTATATATAGGAAGAGAGCAGAAAACAAGCTGGAAACAATTCACAAAACAATCCACAAGAACAATACAAAGCAATAAAACAACTGACAAGTAATTCATTTCTGTAGTAATTCAGCTTTGAAAACACTACTGTTGAGACGTTTCACATCAGGTCACGATGTGTTGCTTTCCTTAAAACGTTCTTATACCCAGCTATAGGTATGACCGTGTCTATGCGTCTTTCGGGTGGTCATGGAAACTACCACTCATACACTGTTGACGTTTATGTAATCCAAATGTAGAGAGTGTTTGTGTGTTTGTTCGTTGTAGAAATTACAGTTTAACAAACTTTATAGAAAATAGTGAATTATTTGTTTCACCGACAATTACACAACGGAACAAATACATGCTTCTCAGGCAACGGTTCATTCATTTGGCTTATTTGGAGTGACAATCACTTCGACAATCTCTGTGTTAACTGTATTAAAATTGTGCGTGTCGGATCTGAACCAATGAAAACAAACTTTGTTAATAAAGCCACATAAGTACAATTATACCAACCATCAATACCAACACATTACATCCAAATACATACCCATAACAATCTGTGATCCCTCTCTTCAATACGTAACAAATATTGAAGTTAAACCAGACAAAACTTTGCATCACGGTCTCTAGAGTACCATGTTGCCATGATACAGAGAGCAGAACAATGTGCTGAAATGTTTTGGGGACACATTAGAGTGTGTGGATGCAGTAGTACTGTAAAAGGAATAAATGTTTACTGAGTTATAATTTTGTTTATTTCGCTGACTGGAGAATGCGCTAAGTTAAAACCCATTGAATATGTAAAATTGAGCATAGAACACGTTATCTAAATGATAAAACCGCGAATTTAAAACTGGATAAGCCTAAAATGCTAAATCAGGGAAATTTAAACCCAGTGAAAATTAGTCATTTTACAGTAATCATTCAGGGAAATAAATCAGTAATATATTGAGAGTGTTGTAATCCCTATTAAATTTGACACTGCCAGATTGGCAAACAGAAATAATGGCCAGTGTTGATTAACTGCAACATATTACCTAGGAAACCTATTCGATTGAACCCTTTTGGGGAATATTTCGCAAATTCATCACCAGAGACATTTTTCTGTATTGTTAGTATAGAAATTGGACCATCTTTTACTTGTTTACATTCATTTACGTAGAAATTGGATATTCTTGTAGTAATATTTATTCGATGTATAAGCGACCGAATGCATTGAAATACAAATAAATCATAGCGGCATTCAGTATAAAATATACTGAATTGTGTTTCTGAAAACTACTGAGAATGAACATTTATCGAGTCACACTAAAGATTAAACTAAAACTCACGAGCATAATATATTTTAAAATTAAGATTATGGGAAAGTAAGATAACAAACAATTGTTTGAACCATTTGTTTTCTTTTCAGATAACACAATACAGTCTCAGAAATGAAAGTAGCAGTCAAATAGTCACATGGGTTTACCGGGGTTTTAATAGGACCATAACTGCTCTTACCCGAACCTACTCTCGGTCGTTGTGTGAGCATCTCTTGAAAATCAATACACATGAATAAAATACTATACTGCCTCCGGTAAACAAAAATGAGCATTATATCACGCGGAGTGTCTTGATTTGATCCGCTGCATATTGAAACAAACACACATTTTACAAGTGCAGACAGAATACTATATTTACGTCTCAATGAATGCAGAATACATGTGTAACGATGAACTATTGTCCGACATACTCGACGTTAATAAATTATGACAAATGAATAGCGCCCACTCGCAAACCAGCGAGCCAAGTCGATTCTGCCCTCAACGTCATGGTTACCAGACAATCGTTTCTTTGTCAAACGCAGGTGGCGGGGTCGCTTGCTTTAAATAAACAGAGTGAGGGTTCTAGGAGAACATAGCTGGAGACAGCAGAGGCGACTGAATTGGGATCCATCGGGACGGACAAAGGGTGTTTATCTGTTAAAATAAAAGAGTGGGGAATTCATTATATTTATGTGCGAAAATGTACATAGGAGCGAGCGCCCAAGATAAGGATCAACATCACCGATATTCACTTTTACAAAGTATTCTTGATCAATCCTTCTTATCTATAGTAACAAATTAAATGTTCAGTCTTGATATTCGTGAGGTCTCCATCTTACTTGTAACACAGTACTCATTGTTACACGAGATTGGGAGAAAAGATTAATTCTAATGCACTTACCAAAATAATAAATATATATACTATATACTCTAGTTTCCCTTTTTTAAAGATGAAGTATCCTTGGATCTTTCGAGTTGTTCGATTGTGCTTCGTCT